CAGAGGCAGTGTCTCCGAAACCGGAGTCTCAGAGGAGCGCGGCGCGGGGGCCAGAGGAGAGGCAGGGGTCCGACTCAGAGACGGCGCCACCGCCCCTGTCAGCGCCGCTCGATGGCCGGTGGCCGTCGTCTTTTCAGGGACAGGAAGGGCAGCCCAGAGAGCGGGAACTGTCAGTAATACAGGAGTTGGAGTCGAAGCAGTCTGGGAAACCGGATTCAGTCGCACAAGAGTCAGAATTGGAACCTGTAGTGCCCGAGGTTGTCACCGGGAACCGCTGCAAAACCGACTGCCTGGAAGCGCCGCTCTCCCGCGCCTTCCAGCGGCTGGGATGGGTGGTAGGGTCGTACCCCTGGGTCTTCCTGCTGGTGCCTATGGTGCTGACGGCCGTCCTCGGCACTGGCTTCATCTTCCTCCCGCATGAGGAAGAAGACCTGGAGGAGCAGTACACCCCAATCGCGAGCCCGGCCAAGGCGGAGCGGCGCTTTGTGCAGGAGCATTTTCTCGCCAACGACTCCTATAGCTTCTCCGCCTCCAGGAGGAGCAGCGAGTACAATTTCGCCTCCATTCTGGTGATCTCCCGCTTCGACACGGTACTGGAACAAGACATCTTTAGAGAAATAAGCAAACTGGACAGGGCCGTGCAGACGTTGTATGCAGTGCATAATGGCACCAAGATCGTCTTCAGTCAGGTGTGCGCCAAGTACATGACCGCCTGCGTGCCCCCCAACCCGCTCCTGCGCGCCTGGCAGCTGGACAAAACGCTCTACCTGAGGAACCTCACCTTCCCCATCTACAGCCACAAGGGCCAGCTGGTCCACCTGGTCGGCTCCCTGGGAGGAACCAGCTTGGGTGAGATGGTGGGAATGGGCAAGCTTATCCTGCAGGCCAAAGCCATGAGGCTGGTGTACTTCCTGAAGTCCGAGCAGCAGGTGGACAAAGAGCAGAGCAAGCAGTGGCTGATCCAGTTCCTGGACCACATTAACAGACTTATGGCCAGCCTGGCCTTGGAAAAAATCAAGGTACCTGGCAGTTGGAGATAGCGCGGAGGCCGGGAGACAGCGGGAGGGCTGAATTAGGTGCACTTGTGGGATCCTTGACTCAAGGCTGGCTGTGCTCTACGGTATTTGGTACTTAACCCTACTTTCTTAACACCGAAGGATGCCTACAAATCTTAAATCCTTGGTAACATTTCGGTCAATAACACAATCCTATGTCCCCCTAGACAGGTCTGTTCAGTACAGATATTGATCCTTATCTTTAATTTTGAGTTTCGGTTTTCTAACCAAATTTGAAATTCTTAATTAATCTTTGCTGGTTTCTGGGAGTCCCAAAACTTGTTTGGAGCTCACTGTAATTAAAAAACAAATAAATCTCTCATTAACAGTTCTATGGTATTATTTAAGAAGATAACTAGCTCAGCATTTTTCAAGTTAGTTATTAAGGAACTCAAAAAGTTTGTGGAAAATAAAATTAAAATATTAGTTTATTTCTGTAAAAAAAATTTTTGAAATCCATTCATTTTTTCAGAATACAGATTTTCCACGAACTTTTGAAGACTCCTTGCATATAAACCACCTAGTTGGTGTGAGGCACATGTTAGCTGTTTAATAATTGTCAGCACAGCAACCTACTAACACAGTCATGCGTCCCTTAACAAAGGGGATAGTTTCTGAAACAATTTAGGTGATTCAGCCCTTGGGCAAACAACATAGAATGTATTTACACAAACCTGGAAAATCATAATCCACATATGCTGATCTTTTACTGAATTTTTACACGTTTTAGAAACAATCCATATTATGTATATAGAGTTTGTAACTCACACACAAATATTGAAATTAATAGTTACTTATGTGAGTATATTTTTGTGGCAGGTGGTCTACTTTACATCCCTTTCCAGACAACTGGAATTTGAGGCAACATCTATGACAGTGATTCCTTTGTTTCACTGGGCATACATTCTAATCATACTATTTGCTGTGTTATCATGCTACAGGTAAAAATACTTTTATTAGTTTTCATAAGTTTATTTACTTATTTCTTCCATAAAAGAGAGAGAGAGAGACACACAGTCATCCCCAACGGGGTCTTTACACCACAATCCACCCCGAGCCTCAGCCAGTCAGGGCACACGTATGCCCAGAGTACATAGGGAGGTCTCAGGATGTGAACTTGAGACCTTCCCATGTGTGTCCAGTATCATAGAGCATTATGTTACTGATGCACCATGGGCCAGCCCCTAGTTTTTAAAATCTCTTTAAAAAATATTTTATTGTGGTAAAGTATGTATAAAAATATAACATAAAATATGCCACTTTAACCATTTTTAAGTGTACAATTCAACAGCATTAATTACATCCACGATATTATACAACCATCACAACTGTTTCCAAATATTTTCCATTACCCCAAACAGAAACTCTGCAACCATTACATTAATCCCTGCTCAGTCCCGGTTAATCTTTGCTTTCTGTCTCTATGAATCTGCCTAATCTAGAGATTTCATATATGTGAAATATATTTGTACTTTTGTGACTGGTTTATTTCACTTAGCATAATTTTTCAAGGTTCATCCACCTTGTAGTATGTATCGGAACCTCATTCCTTTAGATGGCCAATGTAAAACATTCTTGATTTTGCTCTTTTTCAGAATTATTTTGTTCAACCAAGGATCCTTACAGTTCTATTTGAATTTGAGATATGCTTCTTCATTTCTAAAAAAGGAAAAAAAGGAAAAAAAAAAGGCTATTGGAATTTTGGTAGGGATTGCTTTGGGTAGGACTGACATTTTAGCAAGCCTCCTGGCCATTAAACTAAGGATCTTTACACAATTTAGGTTTTCTTTAGTTTCTTTCAGCAATGTCTAGCAGTTTTCAGTGTATGAGTCATTCATCCCCTTGGTTAATTTTTTTTAAGAAAGGTTTTGTTATAGGGTGCTTGTGTTCACCTGCCAGGAGAATGGCCATGTGGCAATCCCCTCTTCTCCATCCTTCTCTCAGAATTTTGGGCATGCACATGCATACACCCAGAGTGAGTTTCAATCCTCTGGGTCCAGGACTCAAACCACAGTCAACTATGTGGGAGTCCAGCAATGTAACCAGTACACCATCTTCTGGTTCCTTCGTTAAATTTTTTCCTAGGTATTTTACTCTTTTAGAGCTATTTAAATGGAATTGCTTTCTTAATTTTCTTTTGGGATTGTTTACTGTACATATGCAGAAACTCATTTTTGTGTGTTAACCTTGTATCCTTCAGCTTTACAAATTTGTGTATTCTAGTATTTTTGTGAATTCTTAGGAACTTTCATACATCAGATTATGTAATCTGAGATGGCTTAGCTATTTTTTCTTTTCCAATACAGGCACCTTTTATTTCTATTTCTTATCTAATTGTTCTGGCTGGAACGTCCAGTATGATGTTAAATATCAATGCTGAAAGTGGATATTCTTGAAGAAAAACTATTGTTTTTCACCTTTGAGTATGACATTAGATTGTGACTCATAAATGCCCTCGTCATGTTAAGCAATTTTCCTTCTATTCTTAGTTTTTGGGTGTTGAGGGTTGGATTTTGTCAAGTGCCTTTTCTATATCTACTAAGATGATCATGTGGTTGTTTTCTTTTGTGCTATTAATGTAGTGTATTAGATTCATTTTTCCTTTCTTGAACCACCTGTGTTTTCCTGGGATAAATCCCACTTGTCTGTGGTGTGTGTGTATATAAATAATTATTTTTCATAGGATATGCATGCTCACTGAAGACAGAAAGAGGGGATGTAAGAAGTCACCTTCCAGGGAGAAGAGCCACACTGCAATCCCTTCTCCTCCATTTTCCTCTCCTCTCAGGATTTTGGGGCACGCATATACCAGGCCTGGCATGATTTTCAAGCCACAGGGTTTAGGACTTAAACCATAGTTGGCCCATGAAGGAGTCTATCGCCTTAACCACCACACCACCTAGTGGCCTTGTACATAACTGAGTTGTGTTTGCTAGTATTTGCTAAGGACTTTTTTTTTTTTTTTTTTTTTTTAAGAGGTTTTTGCTATAGGGCACGTGTGCTTGCCAGACAGAGAAAAACAGAGAGACAGAAAGTGAGAAATCACCCCCTAGGGGATGGCCATGCCCCAATCCCTTCTCCTCCATTCTCCTCTCAGGATCTTGGGCACATACATGCACCCAGTGTGAGTTTAAGCTACCGGGTCTGGGACTCTAACAGCAGTCAACTACATGGGAGTCCAGCGACAGCCATTACGCTAACTTCTGGTCCGCTAAGGACTTTTGCAACTGTCGTTTTCTTCTCTTGTGATGGTTTTATCTGGTGCTAGTATCAATGTAATGGTGATCTCATAGAGTGAATTAGGAAGTATTTCCTCCAATTTTTTGAAAGAGCTTGAGAATTAGTGATAATTCCCCTTTAGATGTTTGATGGAACTTCCCAGTGAAACCATCTGGTGGTTCATGACTCTTCTTCATTGTGAGTTTTTTTATTACTAATCCAATCTTTTTATTATACATTTTGCAGACATACTGAGATTTCCTCTCATCTTAAGTCAGTTTTGTGTGTTTGTAGAAATTTGTGCATTTCATCTGGGTTATACGATATTCGGTATAGAGTTGTTGATAGTATGAGGGGGTCTTCAAAGAGTTCATGGAAAATGCATATTATGAAAACACTGCATGGATTTCAATATTTGTTTCAACAAAATACAATCATACTTTAATTCAATTTTCCACGAATTTTTGGAAGTCCTCTCACATCCTCTCATAATTTCATGTTTCTATAAGGTCAGTAGTAATAGATTCACTTTATTATCTGACTTTACTGTTTGTCTTTCATTATCATTCTAGATAAAGTTTTGTCAGTTTTGTTGATCTTTTCAAAGACCCAACTATTGGTTTCATTGATTCTCTCATTTTCCTAGTCTCTATTTCTGTTCTAATTTTATTATTTCTTTCCTTCTTGCTATGGTTCATATGATCATTCCAAAGCTCCTATGTGAAAATCTAATCCCCAGTATAATAGTATTAAGAAGTGTAACATTTGGGAGGTGATTAGAATAGGATTAATTCCATTATAAAAGAATTCCAAGAAAGCTTGTTAGCCCCTTATACCACGTGAGGATACAGAAAGAAGGCACCATCTATGAAAGATTGAGCTCTCACTAGATGATTTGTCTGCTGGCACCTTGATCTTGGGCTTTCCAGCCTCTAGAACTATAAGAAATAAGTTTCCATTGTTTATTTATCACCCAGTCTAAGGTATTTTCTTATAATAACTCACAGACTAAGTCACTCTGATAGTTTTGTTTTTTTGTTTTATGTTTTTTTGGGTTTTTTAAATTCCTTTTCCAGTTCCACAAGGTGCTATGCTAGGATATTTATTTGAGATCTCTTTTCTTTTTTTCTTTTAAGGTTTTTCTGTAGGGTGCCTATGCTTGCCAGAGACAGACAATGAGAGAGAAGGCAAGAAATTGCCTCCCAGAGGGAATGGCCACACCACATTCCTTCTCCTCCATTATTCTCCTGGGATTTGGGGCATGCACGTACATACACCCAGTGTGAGTTTCATATCACCAGGTCCAGGACTCGAACTACATTTGACCACGTAGAAGTCAAGAACTTTAACCACTACCCCACTTTGCTAGCCCCTCTTTTTTCTGTTTTCATGTTAGTATTTTCAGGTATTTTTTTCTGAGCACTGTTGTCACTGCATTTTATAAGTTACAGTAGGTGTATGTTTGTTTTCATTCATCACTAAGTATTTTCTTTTTTAAAAAAGAATTATTTAATTTAATTTACTTACTTACTTAATTAATTAATTTTAATTTGACCAGAGAGGGACAGAGCAAGAGAGAGAGAGGGAGAGGGAAAGTGAGAAAGCAAGCCATCAGGTCTGGGACTCGAACCACAGTTGGCCATGTTCAAGTCCAGGGCCCTTTACCACAATGCCACCTGCCAGCCCTATCACTAAGTATTTTCTAATGTGCCTGTAACTTCTTTGACCCATCTCTTCCACTCTTTCACTTTGATCTCCCTCTCAGTCTCTTTTTTGTGGAGAGAAGGGGATGACAGAACTTTTTTCTCAAAGATGCTAAACAATGACATCAAATAGACAAAATGGTTATCAACGGACTTTAAAAATCTGACTCAGCGAATCCAGGACACATACAGATAATTCAGAGGTATACTTCTGATTTGGAGACAATTCTAAAGAACTGATCATCTCAGGTAAATGTTAGAAGAAACTAAGTCTAGTTTTTTGGTGAGCTTTATTTTTGCATATATTTTTTTTACTTTACACAGTGCATCAATGATTAAATGAACTCTTGTGATCCAAAAACTAAACTATGATGTCAGCAAAAAACAGAATTTAGATGTAGAAGGAGCCACAAAGATTGTAAGAGGGGATTTTAAAAAGTTCATGAAAAATAGAATTAAAGTTAGGAGTTTATTTTGGGACTAAAACATTTTTAAACCCATATAAAGTTTGTTCTTTGTGGGTTTTTTGTTTGTTTTTTGGGTTTCTTTTTTTTTAAGAGATATTTTTCCTATAGCATGTGCTCAGCAGGGAAGGAGAGAAATATATTGAGAGATGAGAGAAAGCAAGAAGTCACCCCCCAGGGAGGATGGCCATACTGCAATCCATTCTCCTCTATTCTCCTCTGGATTTTAGGCACACATAAACACGCACCCAGTGTGAGTTTCAAACCACCAGGTCCAGGATTTGAACCGTAGTCAGCCATGTGGGAGCCCAGTGATGTAACCCATCTGCTGGCTCATATGAAGTTTGGATTTTTTTTTTTTGGAGAGATTTTTGCTATATGGTGTGTGTGCTCACCAGAAAGACAGAGACAGACAGAAAGCAAGAAATCACCCCCCAGAGGGGTTGCCATGCCCGTAATCCCTTCTCCTCCATTCTCCTCTCGAGATCTTGGACACGCACGCACACGCGCCTGGCGTGAGTTTAAGCTACAGGGTCCAGGACTCAAACCATGGTCAGCTACATGGGAGTCCAGTGACGTAGCCATTAAGCCAACTGCTGGTCCCCATATGAAGTTTTTTGAAAGTATGAATTTTCCATGAACTTTTTGTTAAAGTTAGTAGCAAAACATTCTTTAATTTAGTATGGAAGTTACAAGATACTATAATTGGTTTAAAAAAGTTTTCTACTAAATAGTTATTTTCGAAGATGTGAATGTATAACCATTTCTTGCTTATCTTTATAAATGATTAAGAAAAATAATGCATAAAGTCTGTATTAAAGGCAATTAGAACATGATTGATATTGTCTTTCAAATTTTTTTATGCCTTTGTAACCAATACACTAAACACAAAAGGCTCATGAGGTATAACTTGAAGCAACTTTATTTTTGTCTTCCTTTGTCTTCTTTCAGTTTTGAAGGTAGAGCAAATTCTTCCTCTGCCCCATGAAAACGCGGGCTGGCCCTATGACTTTGTGGTCATTCTTAAGACAACGTCCTCCAGTCAGAATTAAAATGTCCATATAATAAATAAAAGTAGTAACTTGACTTGAAGCTATAGGGTTTTTTCCCACCTCTTTTAGCAGACCATGCTACATGGGATAGTCCTTAAAGGGGTAAAGAGCACTTGCCAGACTTCTATCACTTTTCCTCTCCATCTTGCTGAGCTGGTTTGTGTTTTGGAGCATGCTCAAAGAGCAGAAGAAAAGGAATAGGAAAATCCTCATGTATGCTGCCATAATGGTCTGATGTATTCCTTCTCTGGCTTGGATATAAAACTGATCCTTCTGCTCTTCTAAGTTCTTAGAACACTTCTCTGTCCCCCTCCTTAATCACTGAGGGTCTTTTATCTGTGTTCTGGGTAGAGGTTCCTAATAGTCTCTAAGATATTCCTATCCCGCTTGTTTCATACACATGTACACTGGTTCTTTGCATACGCACATTTACCTCATACTGGAACCCTTAGTTGAACATATATTTTAGGTTCTATATTTATTGTCTTGCAGTGAAGCCATTTGAATAAGACTTTTTCAAAAGTTTGTACTCCAAGTTAAATCTTATTATAGCCCAAGCAAGTAGTGGTATATTGAGCTTCCAAAGTATTTCAGAATTGCTTTTCTCTTTATTTATTTATTTATTTATTTATTTATTTATTTATTTATACTTTTGTTATGGGGCGCATGCACTCAGTGGAGAGACAGAGAGACAGAAAGCAAGAAATCACCCCCATCCCAGGGTGGATGCCCATAACATAATCCCTTCTCCTCTAAGGATTTTGAGCATACATGTACACACACCCGGCATGAATTTCAAGCCACCAGGTCTAAGACTTGAATCGTGGTAGGCCATGTGGGAGTCCAGCCCCTCAACCACTATACCACCTGCTGACCCCTTGCCTGAGTTTCTGAAAATAACTAAGCTTATACCAAATATCAGATGAACTTCTGATAAAATCTGGAATCCTTTCCCTTCTCAAATATATTATAAGCTAATTACTTATGAGAAGCATTGTTACTTTTCAAATAAGATGTGGATCCCTCATCAAGTATATACAGCATTTTCTAAGTGTAACGATTTCAAATTTAGCTGATCCCTGCTTAGTAAATAAAAAATTCAGAAAACTGGCTGTTTTACTACCACTGCTGCCCAAATCTGCCTGCATATTAGAATCACAGGACAATTTTAGACCGATGGATTCTGTACTTTCACTATAAATCCACTGGAGCAGAACCTGGAAAGCTGGGTTCCAGGAAACCAAAAGTTCCAAGAGTCCCCAGGTGGTTCTGATGAACTGCTTAAACCAAGGTCCTTCCTGGGTACTGGAGCATCTACAAGTTTATTCATCAAATTCCTATAGTGTTCTACTTTTAAATTGTCCCTTCTATTGTCTATCGAACATTAAAAAAAGGTCATTTAGAGAAAGTCAACACAGCAACTAGTCACAGTAATCCTTCTAACCTCAGTAATCCTTCTATTTCAAAGTTTATCTTCCTATCTTTTTGTGTTTTTTTGGACAGATTTTTGCCTTAGGGCACATGTGCTAAGAGAGAGACAGAGACAGTGAGGGAAAGTGAGAAATCACCCCTAGGGAAATGGCCACACCACAATCCCTTCTCCATCCTCCTAGGATGTTGGGTACACACACATACGCCCAGCTTGAATATGAAGCCACCAGGTCCAGGACTAGAACCAAAGTCAGCCATGCGGAAGTCCAGCAACATAACCACTAGGCCATCTGCTGACCCCATCTCCCTTTCTTTTTCTTTCCTTTTTTTTTTTTTAATGAGAGATTTCTGGTATAGGGCTCACGAGAGAGACAGAAAGTGAGAAATCCCGTGGGTACATGGCTATGCTATAATCCCTTCTCCATTCTCTTTCTGGGATTTTGGGCACATACCCACATGTACCTGGAGTGAGTTTCAAGCAGTTGGGTCCAGGACTTGAACCACAGTCAACTACATGGGAGTTCAGCAATATAATCATTACGCCATCTGCTGGTCCCTCCCTTTCTATCTTAAACTCCTATAAAGCAGTATTTTTGTTTTGAGAAAGTATTCATTATGATAAAATTTTATAGAACAAGGCAATTTACTTTTTCTCTGGAATTTATATGTGTGTGTTGATTTGGGACCTTGAATTTAATTCATAGCACCAGCAGTTGAGAAAAAGTAAAATAAGCCATAGTGTAGGAATTTTATTAGTAAGAAATTTTAGCTATTTAAATGTGATCGTATCTGAAGATCTTCTGTGTCATGTTCCTTCTGTTTTGAAGAAAGTAGTTCCAGTTTCTTAGTTGCCTCTCCTAGACTTGAATTCCAAATTTAGTTTCTGTCCCATACTGAAGTATCTGGAAGGCAGGTACCAGTCATTTGTTTTGAAACAGTTTCTAGCCAGGAACATCTAAACCCAGAGGTTGCAGCCAGCATTGTAAAATACAGCCTTGTGATTGTTCAGTAGGTAAAGCATTGAATCATACTTTAAAATGTTTCATGTGTATTCCTATTTGTGTTGGTCTGACAAGGAAACAGGCACAGATTGGATCATTCAAAATGTAGTACATTTCAGGGTGGGTTTTGGTGGGGTTTTTTTTGTTTCTTTTTCAGATTTGGTACTTTTCCACTTCACCAGTAGAGAAGAATCCCAAAAATGATTTAAAATAAGACTAATTTTCTGTCTACCACAATACACATTGAACTAGCTTTGAAATAAAGGAGCTACTTAGTGTTGTGTTTGTAAGATGAGTTTTAGGCCAGCAGGTGGTATGATGGTTAAGGTACTGGACTCCCACAGGGTCGAATATAGCTCAAGTCCCAGATCTAGAGGCTTGAAAATCATATTAGGCACATGTGTGTGCTTGCCCAAAATCTCAGGAGGACAAGGAATTGCAGTGTGCCAAAGCCCCTCGAGAACAATTTCTCATTCTTCCTCTTACTGTCTCTCTCAAGCAAGCAAATGTGCCCTAAGTCAAAAAACCAAAAAGTTTCTATGTTACAGTTTGCCCTCTATGACCTGTTACATTTCATTCACACCCTTCTATAGATCAAAGTGGAATTAACCATCTCCAGTATTGTAAATTGTTGTGGTTCTGAAATGCTAGTCACTAGGATTACTGCTTGGCTACCTACACAAGAGTCAGCCAGAAGAGTTGCTAAACATAGATTCTTAAACTTTCTGTTCCCTCCCCCCTTTTTTTTCCAGTTGGTCTGGAATAGAGCCTGGGAATTAAAGTTTCCCAGTAGACAAGTGTGGAAATTATTGCCCCAGTAGTATATGAATAGGTATCCATGTTAAGAATGTTATCAATTGATAGAATTTTAGTATGGAAGCTACCACCACAAATTCCATGATTTTTCCCTCCAAATTTACAGGTGTAACTGTGCACAAAACAAAATATGGGTTGCAATCTTTGGAGTGATTTCTGCTATGTTGGCAGTGGTGAGCAGCTTTGGCCTGATGTTATACATTGGGGTGCCATTTGTGATCATAGTTGCAAATTCACCATTTCTTATTTTAGGTGAGTAAAACAAACTATGAGGATATGCTTTGTGTGAGGGTGTGGGTAGATAATGGAAGGAAAAGTATTTAGGTGGCTTTACAAATCTATAAAATATTAGGAAAAAAGAATATCAAATTGAATTATTTATCTTTAGAAGTAGAAAAATCTAAATCTAGTATTCTTAAGTGGTTTAAACAGGCAGGGGAGGGGCCAACAGATGGCATGGTGGTTAAGGTGCTAGACTCCCACATGGTCAGTCAACTGCAGTTAAAATCCTGGACCCGGTGGCTTAAAATTCACACTGGACTCACGTGCATGTGTGCCTAAAATTCTGAGAGGAGAATGGAGGAGGGATTGTGGCATAGCCATCCTACCTGGGGGAGTAATTTCTCATTTTTTCTCTCTCTGTGTTTCTCTCCAGCAAGTGCATGCACCCTATCACCAAATAAAAATAAATGAATAAATAGTTAAAATAGTTCCAGGACTCGAACCGCAGTCGATTACATGGGAGTCCAGCGACATAGCCATTACGCCAACTGCTGGTCCCTGAACAAGTGTGTTCATTTTATTATGATTTAGAACAGGAAAATATTGAAGACAATCTAATTCCATATCAATATGGGACTGGTCAAACTAAAGATAGCATATGAAAACACTGATGCCATATTCAGTCTTTAAAAATAAGTATGTAATATTAAATAAAAATTTCTAGTTATAAAGCAAAATGTTGGAAATAAAGCAATAGTTATATCTGTATATTTGAACAGAACAAATTCTGGATAGATGTACGGCAAAATGTTAGCAAGGATTACACCTGGATGGAATTACAGTTCTTTCCTATTTTTCTTTGTACTTTCAGAATTTATTTTACACTAAGCATGAGAAAAAAAGGAGTTTATATTTTGGAAAGTACATAACTTGAGGGACCAACAGTTAGCATAATGGCTATGTCGCTGGACTCCCACGTAGTCAACCACGGTTCGAGTTCCGGACCCAGTGGCTTAAACTCACGCACGATGCATGTGCATGCATGCCCAAGATCCCGAGAGGAGAACAGAGGAGAAGTGATTGCGGTGTGGCCATCTCCCCGGGGAATGATTTCTCGCTTTTTGTGTCTCTGTCTCTATCTTTCCGGCGAGCGCACATGCCCTATAGCAAAAACCTCTCCAAAAAAAGAAAAAAAAAAAAAAAGAATCTACTTAACGGAAGGCAATCAACTAACAAAAATTTTAGGTTAAATATGGAAAAACTTCTAATGGCCTCAGCTGACGATCAGACACAGAAGTGGATCTCTCTCAGCACCATAATGATCACAGCCAAAACAAAGAGGATATTTATAATATTGGAAGAAAAGGTTGGACCCAACTATGATATTGAATTTATTGCTAGCCCTGGGCTTAAATGACTCAAGACTTGGGCCAGCTGGTAACACTGTGGTTTAAGTGACTTACCCTACATAGCCAACTGTGATTTGAATCCTAGACCCAGTTGCTGGACATGTGTGTGAGTGTGCCCCAAATCTCAAAAGGAGAAAAAGGGATTGAGACATGGCCATTCCCGGTGGGGAATGCTTTCTTTTTTTTTTTTTCTTTTTTTGAAAGGTTTTCGCTATAGGGCATGTGCGCTCGCCACAGAGAGAGAGAGACAGAGAGACAGAAAGCGAGAAATCACCCCCCAGGGGGGATGGTCACGCCGCAATCCCTTCTCCTCCTCCGTTCCAGGATCTTGGGCACGCACGCACACGCGCCCAGCGTGAGTTTTAAGCCACCGGGTCCAGGACATGAACAGCAGTCGACTACGTGGGAGTCCAGCAACATAGCCATTATGCTAACTGCTGGTCCCAGGGGATGCTTTCTTTTATTTTTTTTCCTCTTCCCCTCAGTAAGTGCATATACCCTCTAACTAAAAAAATAATAATTAATAATAAAATATTCAAGACTCATTATTCATTACATAATGTGAAAGTGATGAGTGAATCTGCAAGTGATGATAATGAAGGCAGTTCAAGAATTTTTGGAAATTCTAGGTAAGTTTTCTGTGGAAGAAAATCGCTTGTCAGAACAGTTTGACATTATGGTTAAAACCTCGATACTGGAAATGGATGCTTGAAAAGACTTTCATCCATTAACAAGGTCGAGTCAATGCCAGGGTTCAAGGCATTTAAAGACAGGATAACCATCTTGATTAGGAGCAATGTTGCAGGCTACAAACTGAGACCATTTATGATCTGGCACAGTAAGAACCTAAGAACCTTCAAGCACTTCAGTAAATATACTGTGCAGTATAGAAGCAATAAGAAGTCATGGATGACCCAGTACATCTTCCAAGATGCCCTCCTGTACTGTTATGCCAACAACATGGAGAAGTACTGTTTGGAGAATAACATGGCTATCAAGATTTTACTAATTATTGATAATGCTCCCTCGCATCTTCCTTTTATTAGTGATTTTTATCCCAAAACCAAAGTTGTGTTTTTTCTCCAGACAGCATAACTTTGATCCAGCCAATGGATCAAGACGTTTTAACAGGTTTTAAGGCCCACTACCCTAGGAGAACTTTTGCCCAGTCTGTTGCTGCAACTAAGGAAGACACTGATGGAATTTTTTTTTTTTTTGGAGAGGTTTTTGCTACAGGATGCCTGTGCTTACCAGAAAGACAGAGAGACAGAGAAGGCGAGAAATCACTCCCTGGGAGGATGGCCATACTGCAATCCCTTCTCGTCCATTCTCCTCTTGGGATCTTGGGCACACATGCACACGCGCCCGTTGTGAGTTTAAGCCACCGGGTCTAGGACTTGAACCACAGACGACTACATGGGAGTCCAGCAACATAGCCATTACACTAACTGCTGGTCCCAGAAACTGATGGAATTCTAAAAGGATTAAAACACTTATGACTACATGAAGAACTTTGCTTGAACTTGAGATGATGTCACCAAGGAGTATATGAATGGGACATGAAAAAAGACAAAAGAGGTCCACCCATGACTTCAAAGAATTTGCCAAAGATGAGCAGGCTGCAAAAATCAGCAAGGCTGTGATTGATGGCAAACAACTTTAACCTGTGTGTAAATAAGGATGACACTGAGAGCTCCTAGAAGTGGTTCCTGAAGATCTGACTAATGAAGAGTTATTGGAACTGGAACAGGAACACATAACTGAGTAAGTGGAAAGAGGAAACGGCAAAAGAGAAACAATCAACCAAGAAAATTCTCAATGAAGGGTTTAGAAGGTTTTACCATTCTCAGTAAGCTCCTTAAAAAGTCTGAAAACATGGACTCCCACCATTGAAAGGTTTTTGTTAATAGCAGGAAATGTCCATGGTAGATTATCTGCTTACAAGCAGATATTGCGGCAAAAAATGAAAAAGCAAACCACTTATTTCTGAAGAGTGACACCTCCTCAAGAGCCTCAAGCAGGTCCTTCATGAGATAGTCCAGCAATTATTGTTATCACAGAAGGAGGCAGTTCCATGTGTGTTACTGCCCGTAAAGGTCTTCCTGTAGGACAATGTGGGAAAGTAGAAGATAGTGATATAACTCTGAACCTGTGTAGGCCTAGGCAGAAGTGCATGTGTGTGTCATAATTTTTAACAAAAGTATAAGGAGTAAAAAAATTTTAACTCAAAAAATTTTAAACAGAATAAGGAAATATATAGAAAGAAAATACTTTCATACAGCTGCACAGTGTGTTTGTGTTTTAAGCTAAGTGTAAATTCAAGAAAATAAAAATATTAAAATGATTCTAGTTTATTAAATAAAAATATAATAAGCTAAGGTTAATTTATTATTGATGCAAGAAAAAATCTTTTTGACAAGTTCGGTGTAACCTAAGTATATAGTGTTTATAAATTCCACAGTAGTGTACAGTAACATTCTAGGCCTTCACACTCATTCACTGACTCACCTAGAGTAACTTCCAATCCTGCCAGCTTCATTCATGATAAGTGTCCTCTACAAATGTGCCATTTTTTCTTTTATAATGTATTTTACTGTACTTTTTCTATGCTTAGACAAACGTGTGACCACTGTTGCCTTCAGTATTCAGTGTTGTTACATACTGTATAGGTTTATGGCCCAGGATCCATAAGCTATACTATATAACCTAGGTGTGTAGTAGACTATACCATCTAGGTTTGTGTAAATACACTCCATGATGTTCACACAATGACAAAACTGCTTTTCTCAGAACGTTTCCTCATCATTAAACAATACATGACTACTGATCTTGTTGCAATATACATGGAAACAAAGGCATACATGAGTGAAATTAATGTCCATTCTTGCAGAAAGTTTGAGGGATGTGAAATTTATCCACAACATGCTCATGCTGTCTTTTCTAGCCTCTTTTCTTTATAATCCTTTTGCCCAATGGTGACTTCAAATATTTCTTTGGGGAGATTTTTGCTATAGGGCATGTGTGCTCACCAGAGAGACAGAGAGACAGAAAGCAAGAAATCACCCCTAGGAGGGATAACCATCCCTTCTCCTCCATTCCCCTCTTGGGATCTTGGGCATGCACGCCCATGTGCCTGGTGTGAGTTTTAAGCTGCCAGGTCCAGGACTCAAACCACGGTCAACTACATTGGAGTCCAGCAATGTAAACATTATGCCATCTGCTGGTCCCCCTCAAATATTCTCCTGTTATCTCTATTCCAACCCAATCATGAAATCTCGTTGTGGAAAGGAATTAATTATCTTGTAGGCATTGATATGTAAAGGATTCTTATGAATTACTTTGGTGCATATGTCTGATCTCAGGAGTACTTGCGTTGTAATGAGCTTGTTAACCTGGACAAGGGTGAATAACAGCATTCTAGTAATCAAAAACAGACTAGCAGAAAAGCTACATCTGTGCATATATGCCTGTGTGTGTGTGTGTGTCTATTAACTGTTTGGAACCTCTAAGTCGTACTACAGAGACAGCTAGATGCTAAACGCAGAACACATAAATTCTGTTTATATTTTAAGCAACAGAGGTGTGACCTAGAAGTGTTTGTACATCAGTGTAAAATGGCTTAGAAAATTATCTCTTAAGCAATCTATTAGAATGAAAGATTAATTGTTAATGCTTCTTTGGCTAACACCCAGTCAGCCAGCTTTTTTTTTTTTTATCTTTTTATTAGAACAATCAAAGTGGATATTAGGACTAGAGTATGCTGTGCTAGTACAAGTAATAGTATATACCAAAGACTTATTATAGAGGAAGGAATGATTCTGTTGTGAATTCATAGGCAGCCAGAGAAAATATCACTAAAAAGGTAGTATCTAGACAGAGATTGACCAAGGGAAATAAGACCTTAAGTGATGAAAAAAGAAAATGGTTTGAATGTTTAATTTTTTAAATCTGTTTAATTTTTAATGGCTATTAATATGTAAGAAAATTGTTTCTTTCTCTCTTTTTTTTTTCCCTCCCTCCCTCCCTCCCTTTCCCTCTCTTTCTTCCTCTCTCTTTTTTTTTAAACAGGCGTTGGGGTTGATGACATGTTTATTATGATTTCTGCCTGGCAGAAGACCAGGGTTGTGGATAACATAAGAGAACGGATGTCCGATGTCTATTCAAAGGTGGCTGTGTCCATTACAATCACCACTCTCACCAACATCCTGGCCTTCTACACAGGGATTATGAGCTCTTTCAGGTCTATACAGTACTTCTGCATCTATACTGGAACAACCCTGCTCTTTTGTTATGTTTATAACATCACCTGTTTCGGTGCATTTATGGCTCTGGATGGTAAAAGAGAAGTAATCTGTCTCCGCTGGTTGAAAAAGACAGAGACTCCCGAACAACAAAGTTCCTCACTGAAAAAGTTCTGCTGTTTCCCCTTTGGCTTTGAACCAGAAGAACATGAAGCTCATATCCATCCAATGAACGTGTTCTTTAGAGACTATTTTGGCCCTTTTCTCACAAGCACTGAGTCCAAGTTTTTTGTAGTGCTGATATACATTTTATACATCATATTAAGTATATATGGGTGTCTCCAAGTGCAGGAAGGTTTAGACCTTCGAAATTTGGCAAGTGACGATTCCTATATCAGACCATATTTTAATGTGGAGGAGGACTATTTTTCACATTATGGTCCCAGGGTTATGGTTATTGTTACCAAAAGTGTTGACTACTGGGATGAAAATGTTAGGCAAAAATTGGGAAAATGCATGAATGATTTTAAAAATAATGACTATATAGATAAAAATCTTACAGAATTTTGGTTACAAGCTTATTTGCAGTATATGAAAAATAACAACCAAGATCCTAATGATAAAAATACTTTTATGAATAGCATTTCTGGTTTTTTAACACAGTTTCCAATTTTTACATATGATATTAATATTTCATCATCAAACGAAATCATTTCTTCCCGGGGCTTTATTCAGACTATAGATATTTCCTCCTCAATCAGTAAGAGGTTGATGTTACTCCAATTACGAGGCATAGCTGAAAAGTGTGAAATTCCCCTAATGGTGTATAACCACGCATTCATATATTTTGATCAGTATTCTGCAATATTAGAAAACACCATTCGAAATGTCATAGTAGCATCGGCAGCTATGTTCCTTGTTAGCTTATTCTTAATTCCTCATCCAATGTGTTCCTTGTGGGTAACTTTTGCTATTGCTTCTGTGATTGTAGGAGTAACAGGTTTCATGGCATTCTGGAACGTCAATCTTGACTCCATATCCATGATTAATCTTATCATTTGTATAGGGTTTTCTTTTGATTTTTCCGCACACATTTCCTATGCATTTGTTTCCAGTTCTCAGCCCTCATTAAACCAAAAATCAATTGAGGCGTTATATATGCTAGGTTATCCAGTGCTACAAAGTGCAGTTTCAACAGTAATAGGGGTAAGTGTTTTATCTGTAGCTAAAGCATACATTTTCAGAACATTTTTTAAGATTATGTTTCTTGTTATGGTATTTGGGGCTATTCATGGCCTAATTTTTATTCCGGTATTCTTAACTTTTTTTTAAAGGTTTATTTAAATAGCCACTAACAAAGACCAGTTATAGAATTCCTCATTGCCCCAATCCAATCTGACTTTTAAAAAATGCACTATTGAGAATAGTCAATAAACTTAAAACAAAGGCATGTTTCCTTGACTTGGAAATCCCATTTTTAATTGTTACTTTAAAAATCCAGAGAAAAATTAATTAGTCTTACATTAAAATACCTTTACTAAAGTAGGAAGTGTTGTCATCTTTATTATAGTCTCTACAAACAACTGTAAGGTAAAATATTCTTGTTATTTTTCCTTTGAGTTCATCATTAGAAGTTTATACCTGGAATTCAAGTAGTTTATATATTGTTCAGACTAAAAATGGAACATTATTTTATTATATTTCCTAAAGGCATTATTATGTGAAAATGCAACTTATTATTCTCCAGTTGGGTTTTTTAAATGCATTTTCATAATGGTATAGTTTGATGACAGAAGTTTTTAAGCATATAAATTCAATTTATCATTTTTTATTAATGGTTAGAGTTTTCTGTATCCTCTCTAAGAAGCCCTTTACTAGTCCAAGGTGACAAAAAACAAAACAAACAAACAAAAAATTAACTCTTTTTATCAAGGTGACAAAAAAAAAAACAAACAAACAAAAAATTAACTCTGTTTTTTTCACAAAGCTAATAGTTTTCATTTTACATTTAGACCTATAATCCATAGACCTGTATTTGTTGGGAGGTATGGGTGGAGGATCTTTTTCACACCATAAAAGCTACCCAATTGCCCCAGTCTCAGTTGTGAGAAGACTCTCCTTCAGCATAGGATTAGTTTGACACCTGCGTCAAAAAATCAGTTATGTGTGACTCTATTTCTGTTCCATAGATTTGTTTGTCTATAAGAGCAATGCCACACTGCCTTGATTACTGAAGCTTTGTATTAATACTTGAAATTAAGTTGTGTAAGTTGCCTAACATTTTTCTTCTTTCCAAATTGATTTGGCTAGTCTAGGTTCTTTGCATTTACACATTAATTTTAGAATCACTTGTCAATTTCTCAAAAATGCCTTCTGGTGTCTCCACTGAGTTATGATGAATCTGCATATCAACTTGGAGAAAACATATCTTTGCAATATTAGGTCTTCCATCTGTGGCTATGATTTTTCTCCATGTATTTAGGTCTTCTTTATTTTTCGCAAAAATATCTTGTAGTTTTTAGCAGAGTTATTCCTAAGCATTTTTATTATTTAGAGCATTGTAAAATAATTCCTTTAAAATTTTTCACTAATATATAAAAATATAATGACTTTTAATATATTACATTATGTTACTTGTTATATTATTAGTTCTTAAAGATTTTTGTATAATTTCTTTCATATTTTTATCTACACAATTATGTAATGACTTATAAAGACCATTTCATTTCTTTCTATGTAATCGTTAGCTCTTATTTGCCTTAATACGTTGCCTAAAGCAGCAAATAAAATGTTGGTTTTAAAAAAAAAAAAAACCTAAGAGCAGATATTGTCTTGTTCCCAACTTTATAAGGAATATGTTCACTACTTCATCATTCACCTAATGATTATCAGGAAGTTTTTCATAGAGGTGTTCCAACATATTAAGCAAGCTCCTTTCTATTTACTAGCTTTCTCAGATGTTGTATCACAAATGGATATTAAATTTTGGCAAAAACTTTTTGTCTATTAAAAGTATTATTTTCTCTTTCAATCTTATAATGTCATTTCTGTTGAAGAATTTTTTTTACCATAATATTATATCAACTTTTCATTCCTAAGATGACCTATATAGCATATTACTATGTTGATACACTTCTGTCTTCGACTGGTTAGTATTTTGTCAACTATATTTGTTCCTATGATCATGAGGGATGTTAATCTGTAATTCCTTTTTCTTGTAATGTCTCCCTTAAGTTTTATATTAAAAACTTATACCACTCTCAGTAAATGAACTGGTGAGCCTTTTTCCCCTCTATTTCCTGAAATAGATGATGTGACCTTGATATTATTTTTTAAAAAAATTTTTTGAGAGGTTTTTGCTATAGGGTGCATGCGCTCGCCAGAAAGATAGAGAGACAGAAAGCAAGAAATCACCCCCCCAGGGGGGATGGCCATGCTGCAATCCCTTCTCCTCTATTCTCCTCTCACGATCCTGGGCACGCACACCCACGTGCCTGACGTGAGTTTAAGACAGTGGGTCCAGGACTCAAACCACGGTGGACTACATGGGAGTCCAGCGACATAGCCATTGCACTAACTGCTGGTCCCTAAAAAAATTTTTTAATAAAGTTTATTTTTATTTTTTCTATGAGAGCGATTGCATCTTAATATATTTTTTTCTTTAAATGCTTGGTAGAATTCGCCAGTAAAGTCATCTGGGCCCAGAGTTTTTCAAATTCACTTTCTTTAGCAAACGTAAGACCATGAGAACCAGCAGATAGCGTAATGGCTATGTGGCTGGACTCCCACGTAGTCGACCGCAGTTCACGTCCCAGACCCGGTGGCTTAAAACTCATGCCGGGCGCGTGTGCATGCGTGCCCAAGATCCCAAGAGGAGAATGGAGGAGAAGGGACTGCGGCGTGACCATCCCCTCTGGTGGGTGATTTCTCACTTTCTGTCTCTATGTCTCTGTCTGTCTGGCGAGCATACGCGCCTATAGCGAAAACCTCTCCAAAAAAAAAGACCATTCAAATAATCAATTTCTTCTTTATAGTTTTGATATGTTTTGTCTTCCACAGAATTTACCCACTTTAACTAAGTAGTCAATTGGTTATATCCTTATTACCATTCTAATGTTTTTAGTGATGACCCCTGAGAAATTTTTGGTATTGGTAATTTGTATACCTTATTTCTTGATCAGTACAGCCAAAGATTATTAATTTTATAAAATTCTTCAAAGAAAAATCTTCCCTATTATTTCTCTGCTAATCCATTGACACTTGATTTTTAATTCTTCCTATTTGCTACCTACTTTGAGTTTAGTTTTTTCTTTCCTAGTCTTTTTAGATTGTAGCTTAAATCATTCATTTTAAATCTTTCTTCTCTTCTAAGAACACTTTTAATGCTATAAATTTCCTCCTATACTGTTTTGCCCACAAATATTTATGTATGAATACTAAGTAACATTCATTTCAAAATAAATTTCTGTTTACTTGTCTTTTCACCTTTGATTCCTGGATCAACAAATGCCTTTATTCTTCTTATAATTTTTTTTTAGAGAGATTTTGCAATAGGGTGCATGCACTCTCTGGAGAGACAGACAGGAATCTGCAAATGTTTTAAGGATATTTTCACTCAAAGTAGAGAAAAATACATGTTTAGCCCAAACCTGCAGATACATTTCCTCTTATAGGAAGACTATCCAACATCATCTATTTCTGGATGAAGCATAAAGTTACTACTGGGCATTTAACAGACCTAATCCAGTAGACCTGGTCTACTCTTAATTCTTCCTCTTCACTTACTGTGTCAGCAGTAACATCATTATTTGGACTGTCTAGAATGTCTACATTTAATCCATTTGACTCCTTTTGGTCCTCACCAGGGTTAACCTCTTCCATTGTCTCTACCCGGGGTGTACTCATTAAGGTGTCATTTCCTTGGGACTGACTATGACTCAACAGCTTTGCCTGTCTTCTCTCCAAGGCTAGTTGTTTATTTCTTTCAATCCTTTGTTGTTGCTCTTCTGTTAGGCTTCTGCTCCACTCAGAAGCAAACTTCTCATTTTCAGATGAGGTTGTCAAAAAGGGATCTAATTCAGTACCAGCTACATCATGGCCATTATTTTCCCCTACTTTGTCATTATTGCTAACAAAAACTTCATGTAAAATAAAGAGATCAAGTCAAATTTGTTTTAAACAAGTCTAGACCTCCTTTTTATTTCCCAGGTATTCAACTCTGTCAATAAAATCCTCAAACTGTAGTTTGAGGAATAGCCTATGTGCCCAGTGCTCCATGTGTCTGATTAGCATCTTCAAGTCTTCAACCTAATGACCTTTATCTTTGAATTGTGCCTTCTCAAATACATGCTTTAAATCTGGAAGCCCTCTCTCTGAAATTAACCTCTGTGCATCCAGCTTGGGTATATTCCTTTTAACTGTTCTCTTTGGAGGTACAGGAACAGGTATTCCATACCCTGATTCTTCATTGGCTTCCACTCCTTCAGCAGCTCGCTCCTCTCTCTCTGGAGAAGTAGAGGTGGGAAAGGGGGGGAAAATTTCATCTCCTACATGCTTATAGACTGGTAGGTCATCCAAGCCATTCTCCTGTGGTTCCAGTATCTCTTCCTCTCCCACTGACTTCAGCAGTCACAGTACCATGATTGGCATGGTGGGGAAGTTGTGCTTTTCAGGAGCCAGTCCAAATATCTTCAACATTACTCTTTTAGATTTGTTGAGATTAACATTTTAGACAAATATTTTATAAGATAAAACCTCAAATAGATTGTCTCTATTTCTTAGTATCTTAAGTGTTTGGCAAAACAAATGGGAATATTGCAAAATAATAGGCATTTTCTATTTTATTTCTTCCAATGTGGAATATAAGTTTATCCCAAAATAATGGCTGCTCATCAAAAACTTCTCATAAATTAAGAAATTATATAACAATGATGAAATGTCAAAATTAAATCATGAGTGTTGGAACTTTTCTTCTTTAATTGTTCATGTCCTCCCTCACTTGTAGTGGTAATTTCAATGGTGCACTCTCTCTCTTTTAAATTGCCAGAAAGCCCATGCACTCACCAGAAAAAGAAAAGGAAGAAAGCACACCCAATGAGGTATAGTCATACTGTAATCCCTTCTCCATTTCTCCATCCTGTGGGGACTTTGGGCATGCCTGCTCACTCAGCTGGAGTAGTTTTCAAGCAGCTGGGCTGGGATTCAAACCCTGACTGCCATATGGAATCCTGTTCCCTTAGCTACTAAGCTACAGGGTCAAGCCTAACAATGGCTCTCTTTCAAGATTTTTTTTTTTTTGAGAGGTTTTTGCTATAGGACATTTGTGCTCACCAGGGAGACAGAGAAAGACAGAGAGACAGAATGCAAGAAATCACCCATGACCATGCCACAGTCCCTTCTCCTCCATTCTTCTCTTAGGATTTTGGGCACACATGTACATGCACCAGCATGAGTTTCAAGCCTCCAAATTTGGGATTCAAACCATGATCTACTGTATGGGAGTCCTGAGATGTAACCATTACACCATCTGCTGGTCTCAAACTTTTTGTCCTTTTTTAATCAGAGGCCACATGCACTCACTAGAGAAAAATAGAGACAGACCCACACACAAAAAAGGTGAGAAATCAATTCCCCACCACGGGAAATAGTCATGCCACAATCCCATCTCTACCTCTCCCTCGTCAGGATTTTGGGCATGCACACATAACTGAACTGTTTCCCATGTTGCCAGGTCTGGGACTCAAACTGAGCAGCTGACCAGCCACTGTAACCACCATGCTACTAGCTGCCCTGAGAAACCGTTGTTTTCTGTAATTTCAATATCTTTCAAAATTTAAGTTAGTTTGGTGTCTCCTTCATTGAATGTTTAAAGATTTACAACTGCTTTTGAAAAA